AATGGCCGGCAAGCAGCTGCCTCACCCGGGGAGGAGCGCAATAATACCAACATGGGTCAGTGAAGCGACATCCTCCACAACTAGACTGAAGAACAAAAAAAAACACAACTTGTCTGTTCCCCTTCCCCGATCGATTCCCCAATGCTGTTCCCCTCCCCCAATTCCCCAATTAACTAAAAAGAAAAAAGGAGAAAAAAAAGGCATCATGTGTGTTTTGATGGCATCTTAATGCAACACGTCAAAAAAAAATTGTGATTGTGATGTTGGACATTTTCAATTCAACTGGTCAAACAGCTTAAATAGTTTAGGTAAATAACCAAATCAGATTTTCGATAAAGCTGTAAAATTCACCTGAAGTACAAAAATGGCTTTCCTAAACTGTTTAAAAATAAAATTTGATTAATGAGCTGTCCACAAGGAAAAAAGTGATTTCATATTAAGTGAAAATATGTATCAAGTGAAATATAAGACCAACTGTTTTCTTGACTCTGATTTTAGTAAAAAAAGCATACTAGTTACCAATGATTAATAAGAACTTCTCATATTGTTAAAGATACAAATAAATCTAATTAACTTAGCCTGAGTCACCACCATTTGATTTTTAATGTAGCACTTAGCATGAGTATTCACGGTAACAAAAAAACAACTTTTTGGGTTAATTCCTACCTCTATATAAAATACTCATTGTTTAATTGGAACAGCAAAATGTTTACAGTTACTCTCTACTTCAAATTTAGTGCACTAAAAACAATTTTCAACCACAAATATTGCTCTTCCATATTAAATAAATTTTTAGGTAATTCAAAAATATTATCCTTTTAATATTAGGGGAAAAATGAGGCTCCTCCCAACATGTGTACATTACAAGAGACAGCAAAAGGGTAAAAAACAGAGTAAGCCACACCAATCTAAACACAGCCTAAAAGCTAGCTAACGTTTATACAGCAATATCTCACAGTATTCTTTTTATTTTGCCAGTCAATATACAGAAAAATAATTTTGCCACGAAGTAAAAATAGTTTTACATTCAACATTAAGCAAGTCTCACTGACTACAAGTATTTAACATTTATTCTAACAAACATGAAACAGTCTCCTGATCAGCATGAATATTTGAAATGTAAATATGTTCCTTTAAACAAGTTTTAAAGTCAACAAATAATTGAACACCTACTGTCTGCTAAGAATAGATAGATCCTTTGAAGATAAAAACTATTATACATTAAAATATTTTTTAAATAAACACAGCATCTTTTAAGAAAATTCCATACTAATATTTCTTAGGCAGTTTTTGATAACGCTTCATAGTCCTATGGTTTCATACATTAAAGACACAGTGGTAGTATACATTTAAGTCCCAGTAGAAAATTGCAGAAAAGCAGAGCTGTTAGGATTTACATAATACACTTTTAAAAATAAAACCATAGGTTTAAGAGTTTGATGCACAAAAATAGGTACATTATTCTTAGAAATAAGAAACCAATTTAAGTTATAATTTCGCTAAGACCACTAAAGTATGTATTGAGGAGAAGAATTTCTCCTAGTTTATTAATTGGCTTTTATCCTCACTTCCTCATTTTTAGATCCAAACAGTCTTAGAACTTACTGTGGTATATATGGTTAAAATTTTCTGGCTGGAAGCTGTGAGGAAGACAGAGAGCCAAAATTGTAGAAGAGTCATCAGAGACCTAAAGAATTGAAGGGAAATGGAGAAGCCCTAATAAAGGTTCTAAACTTAAATTGCGATCAAAGGGATCCTATAACTTACACTGACAACAAAAGGGAAGTATGATCAAAATGTAGTCTCTAATAATAAAATTTGCTATCCAATTACATTATGATTTTCTACAAATCCACTTAAACAGATAAACAACTAATCCCTCAAATTCAGCTATCCTAAGAACAAAGACCATTTGACTAGTTTCCCCCCAAGGGACCAAATGTTTCAAAACTCTCTGGAAACAAAAATTATGCCTAACCTTTTTTTGCCTTCACAATCCTAACTTAAAACATGGTCTATTGGGGTGTACGTTAATAAAAAACCCAACATTTATAGTCATGTTATTTATAAAGTAACCATTTAAAATAAAGTGCAATATACTAAAAACAGCCAGTCTCATTTTACAGGAACCAAAACATATCAAAACAAAACCCAAAGCAACAAAGCAGGCCAGTATGAAGAAAGGTAGTAGAATGAAGGCAGCTTTTCTTATAATTTCTAACTTGACATTGTTTGAAGCCAAATAGGTCCAAATGCTTTATTGTCTAGACCTGACCAAGGTCAAGAAACATGGGTAGAGACAGTGTTCCCGCCTATGGCTACATAAACCGAATTTCCCAAAGAGTATACTGATTTCCTACATTAGATAGTAAATTTAAAGTACCAACCTTCTGAACCACGGTTCTTAACCACTTAGTCTTTAAATGCACAATCTTTATACAACAGATAAAGGATCTGGACTTATATGATCACTCAGCATATTACAAATGAGTACTGACCCCAAATCCCTACACAAACTCTCCCACCACCCACCATTTCACTTTATAAGAAAATATTTCAGAGATTCTAAGTAAGGTTGTGCGCTCAGTCTGCCATGATGAAACTCCCTATGCCAGTTATTTCTACAATTACTTTGCAGAATAGAAACTTAACATCAATCTAGTTCATATATGAACTTCATGATTCTCTTATTCCATTGTAAATACTGTAGAGCAATTTACAATGGAATAGGAGGATCATGAAAAGCTGTATACTCTCCAGTCTTTTAAAGTACTACTGGATTGAAAGGCACTCATCTTTTTCAGTTGCTACACAGTCAGAATGGTCATTAAATGCCATTAATGGCCCACTCATATCTCACTGCTTAATTCAGGCCAAAAAGATCGACCTCCTACTACAGAGATGAATTCTAACCACACTTTTTAGAATACAATTACATTGACAACATTTCATTTTCTGCCTCAATGTATAAAATTCTGAAATTAGCACAAAGTGGATTCAAGACCCTATTATGGTATGGCTTTTATTTAAAGTCTATTAAAACTAAATTCCACATCCCATCCCATAATAGGTAAGTGGGCATGTTTGTTGGGGGAGGGAGGATCAAGAATTAAAGCCTTACTTTTTTACTTATATGACAGTATGCCATAAGAATATTAAAAGGCATCAAAGCATGGAGCTTCACTTTACCAAATAAATACACAATCAACTTAGAACATTCTTAAAGAATGCTTAACTATATGGAGAAAATGAATCCAAAATTTAATGGTGAGAAGAACAAGCATCTCCACACCCAGTGAAGTAACAGGTTTAGGCTTGTTTGTACAGCTCCCTAAAAATTAATCTGAGAGAGTACAAAAACCAAAATTCATAAAACTGGTCAAGAGTTGGATGGGAAATGTTTCGTTCTAGATTAAAATGTCTAGTCATACAAAGATTACACTTAATAAAGTTACTAAACATTTTAATTTACTTTGGCATATTGAATAAAAGATGCTTGGATTAAACCAAACAAAAACTATTATTTGTCCCCAAACATATATATTTTTTAATATTTAAGAACACCTAGCCTCATTATTGACATGTCTAAGACTACCTGAGTCTTTTTATTTTTTTTCAAAAGTGGTGTCATTTTATTTGCCTCTCAGGAAAAAAAAAACAATAAAATTAAGCAACTAAAACACAACATTGTAATTTGCAGTAAAATCAACACATTTTTGTTAACGGTTTTGGGGGGGGGAAAGCCCAGTCTTTTCATGTAAACATAATAAGCCTGTAATATGCTGCAGACAAACGCACTGCATGGGGTGTGGAGGACCCGAGCTGATTAGATTACCACAACATCAGCCTGGGGCCGCCATTTTTAGAATCTGTAAAGGACAAAAGAGGGAAATTTCACTTTTTACTCCCCATCTCGGAAATTAAAGGAAAAACCAGACTATCTTCCAATTAGGTATTGATGTCTCCAGCCTAGAGTTGAATGCACCTCACTTAATTCTTTCCAAGGTCTCCAGAACTTCAAACACCTTACGTTATTCACATCTCTAAAAAAGGGGTCAAAATAGAAAAAAACGGGCTTTACTCTAAAGCTAACTCTAGCGATTTTTCTTTCACTTTAAATTGTATCATTCTTGAGGCAGTCTCTAGCAAGAACGAATCTCTACGTAACTAAGGCCAGTGGAAGAGAGCACTCCGGATTGTGTTTTTTTTTCTCTTCCCCCTACCCCCGTTTAGCACAGTGAACCGTTTGTTTCTCTTCAGTGTCTGCTGCCATAGTGTTTGTGCCAATCCCTTGGTCAAAATAAGCTTTTCTGAAATGTGCCATATTGTGGATTCTAAGCCTCCGGTACAGTAAAGGACAGCGATAATGCGAGAGGAGTGGGGGAGGAGACAGAGAAGGCTGGGTACTGGGGTGACCACCTCAGGGGCGGGTTTACCTTCTCTCGGAGAGGATGAGCAGCTGTCTGGGTCTCCCACAAAGGGAGATAGAGACCCAGGGCGTTCTCTTAACCCCCTTCGTATTAACGAGAAAATTATACCAGAGGACGCCAGTTAAGAAATGGAAGAAGAAAATGAGGCCTATACGGGTTTTCAGCACCTGAACAAGATGCGATGGAGGAAAAGGGAGGGCTGGCAGCTCCTGGGACCACTTCGACACAAACCCTAATAACAGTCATAAGCCTCCCTCCTCACCCAAGCGGCCTTAACCTGCTGCCAAGGAGTGCGCCCCCTCCCTAACTCCCACTCTCAAGGGGGTTTAACTGCCAGTTTCCCCTTCCCCAACCCTAAAACCCGCCATAATGCTCCCTTTCTAGGGACAAGGAAGAGAAAGGATAAATTCGATTCAAACGAGCAACGTCTTGCTCCAACCAAGACACCTGAGAGTCAACGTCGACCCCCCACACACAAGGATAAAGATGAGAAGGCCCCCTCCCCCTTGAAACACACGTTCCTCCACCCCACAAACCCCATGAACTCCCAAGGAGACGACAGGCACTGACCTGTGATGTTCACACACCAGACACCCGAACCCCGTTATTTGCTCGACCCCCAAGGCGTCTCTCCACACCTCTACGATCAGACGACCCCTCGACAGCAGCCACTGCGGACACCGGACCCGGCTCCACACAACCCCTCCCCAAACAGCAGCGCGCAGCCTCTTCACCAGCAATCGAGGAGTAGGGGAGGGGGCACCGAGATAGTCAGCAGGAACGCAGAGGCGACGGCGAGGCTGCTCAGAGTGTCTGTGCCCCCTCTGTTGCCGCTCCCGAACTCAAGCACGGTCTCCGACTCGGCCCCCTGCGCCCGCTCAGTGTCACTGCCTCTCTCTGGGAAAATGGCGGCGACGGCGGCGGCGGCCGCGGCGGCGGCCGCGGCGGCAGCGGCGGCAAGTGCACGGGGCCCGCCCGCCCCGCTCTGCAGGGGCAGAGGGGGAGGGGACGAAGCTGCTTGCCGCCATTTTGCTTGTGGGCTGCCGCCCGCTGTTGCCTGTCCACAGAGGCTCGAAGATAGCCAACTGGAGGCAGAGAGGTGGACAGAGTCTCCGTCTTTTTCACAACAGATGCTTTCAACAATTCACGGAAGGTTTGGGGAAGTTTCGATATTTGGTAGGATTGGTTCTTTACTCTTTTTCCCTGAGTAGCCCTCAAGTCTGGATTTCGGTGAGCTTGGGCACGCTACTGGGTGGAAGGATGAATCAGTAGGCCCCGGAAACGACACCCTCTCCCATCACCTTCCTAAAGCAACGCATTACTTCCCACTCCTCAAATCACCTCAGTCCCGACGTCCCCTCCCCCCTCTGGCCTCCAGCGCTCGGTGAACTCGGTTAGGGTGTAAATCGACGCCCACTAGGGGCTGAGGAGGCTCCAGTGCGCAGGCTCCGGGCACCGGATAAAAGCGGAGCTGGCGAGTCCAGAGCCGTCTCGATGGAGGAGCGAGAAACAGAAGAGGTCGGGGGGAGAAGCAGCAGGGAAAATACAGCCACCGTCAGCGCCGCCTCCCTGCCACCGTGTATCGGGGTAAAAAGCTGCCGTTGCTGTCGGTGCAGTTGCCGTTGCTGCCTCCTACTTCTCTTGGCCCCGGGGAAGGATTTCCGCGCCGCCGGCGGGACAATGTGCGGGGAGGGGAGCGGGAATTCCTTTATGTGGCGGTGATTCAACGGGGGAGGGACAGAGAGACGGTTATCTCGAAGAAAAATCGGGGAGGCCAAAGAATAAAACAAGGGTTTCCCCACTAAAATGGCATGGAGATTCCGGCTCTTGTCTTCGGGGTCTTTCCCCGAAATGGCGGTTTCCGTCTTCTTGCCCCTTAGCGACCTGGAGCGTTTGATGAGAGGAGTGGGGAGAGGCAGAGGCGGTCCTTGCAGCCAATCAGTGCTCGAGATAGTCCGTCGGGCGCGTCGTGATTGGCTAGCGATTACCTCATGCTGCAGCAGCGGGTGGGGCCAGCGCCATCGTGGGAGGCTGTTGCAAAAGCAGAGAGGGAGAAGTGACGGTGGTGATTGCTGCTGTCGCGGCTGATATGGAACCCAAGCAGTGGCGAAGGGAATCTCAAGGCTCTTCCCTGACATTTTCTCCTGTCCTTGCGCGAGGTGAGGGCACCGGCTCGGCCTCTGCGGAACTTTGGGGTGCTGGCGTGGACGAGGAGACACAAATTTCTCCCATGACTTTTGTAACTGCGTCAGGGCAAGATGGCGCTGGGTCTCCTTGGGGCGCCGGGGGAGAGGCACGTCCACCGCCGCCGCAGCGCATGTGACCGGGCTGCATTCCTGTGGGGTTTGGCTCAGACCCAGGGCTGGGGCGGGGGAGGGGAAAGGGCATGGGCGGAGGAGACTGTAGTGCGGTCGGCGTTGGCGGCCTGAAGAGGAAGAGATGACTGAGAGCGCTTCCCCTCCCCCATACAGCTTAACAGCTGCGGCTCCACGGGGAAAAACCCCCGGAGAGAGACTCCTTGTGGGGTGTGACGGCTGTTGGTGGAGGAGAAGGTTTGGCGCCCTGTTTTCTTATCTGACTTTCTCCTGCAAAGTGTACTTACGTAATGTGTCAGGTCCCTAATGTGGGAATCGGAATCAACTGAGTCCTTGTGAAGGCCACTGGACTCAGTGAAAAGGAGAGACTAGCTCCTGGGCCTCAATGTGAAAGACTATTTTTTGAGAAAACATAGTTTCTGAAATCCGAGTGAGGAAAAAAAAAATCCATTAATTTGGAAGCAGGTGTAAATAACACTTAGAAACACTTAATTATTCCTAAAAGTTATAAGAAACCAAAGCATATATCTTCTGAATTTTGAGGGCCCTTTTCAAATTTTCTGTACTTTCCATCTGTACTTTTTTCCCGTATCCTTGCTAACCTTATATTCTGCAAGAATGCAATATCAATGAATTTGGCTTTCTCTTTAAATTTAGGCGTGATACAGAATAAAGACTGCTAGTGTAATCTGAAGTTTTAAGGCTGTTTTCAATACTTTTTAGTCATATATTGTTTTTCTGTTGCCCTGTTAGTATGGTTTCTAAAAATAAATTACAATCATCATTTGGTAAATGTTAAGATTTTTGCACCATTATTCTTGCTCCTTTTAAAAATATTTTTTCAGTTACCATTGACATATTAGTTTCAGGTGTACAGCATAGTGGTTAGACATTTATATAATTTATGCAGTAATTACCTGATTAGTCTTGTACCTTCCTGGCACTATACATAGTTGTTGCAACAGTATGTACTATATTCACTGTGCTATACTCTACATCTCTGTGACTGCTTTGTAACTACCAATTTGTACTTAAGCTTCACCTTTTTCACCCAGCTCCCCAATCTCTCTCCCCTCTAGCAACCCCCACTTTGTCCTCTGTATCTGAGTCTTTCTTTTCTGTTTGTTTGTTCATTGTGTTCTTTAGGTTCTCACATGTAAGTGAGGACATATGGTATTTGTCTTTTTCTTTCTCTGACTTATTTCACTTAGCACAATACCCTTTAGGTCCATCCATGTTGTTGCAAATGTAAGAGTTCACTCTTTTTTATGGCTGAGTAATATTCCATTGTACCACAATTTCTTTATCCAGCCATCTATTGGCAGGCACTTGGGTTGCATCCATATCTTGGCTGTTATAAATATTGCTGCAATGAACATTGGGATGTATACATTTTTTTCAAATTAGTGTTTTGGATTTTTTTGGATAAGTACCCAGAAGTGGAATTGCTGGATCATAAGGTAGTTCTATTCTTTATTTTTATTTTTTTCTATTTTTTTTAGCTGAGCCATCCTGCCACCTGTTGGCAGCTCAGCGGCAACTCAGCTCGGGCCGGGAATCAAACTGCTGTTGCTCAAAGCTCGCACTCTTGAGTGAGCTTTTAACCAACTGAGCCTTTCGGCTGGCCCCTCTAGTTTTAATTTTTTGAGGAACCTCCAAACCATTTTCCATAGTGGCTGTACCAATTTGCTATCCCATCAACAGTGTACGAGGGTTTCCTTTTCTCTGCATCCTCAATGCTTGTTTCTTGATTTTATTGATGATAGCCATCCTGACAGGTGTGAGGTGATATCTCATTGTGGTTTAATTTGCATTTCTCTGATGATTAGTGATGTTGAGCATCTTTTCATTTGTCTATTGACCATGTGTGTGTCCTCTTTGGAGACATGTCTATTCAGGTCCTTTGCCTTTTAAAAAAAATTAGATTGTTTTCTTGGTGTTGACTTGTAGGAGTTTTTTGTAAATTTTGGATAGTAACACCTTATCAGATGTATCATTAAAGACTACTTTTTCTTTAAGTCACTTTTGTAGAAGTGTGAGCTTTAGTTTTAATTTTTGAAACCTTGCTAGGTGAAGACCTCCTGCAGTTCAAAGGACCTTAAGGCCTAAATTGGCAGATATAGTAAGAAAGACTTAATTTTATTTTTGATTATTCCCATTGGTCAAACAAGTGTAGTTGCCATCAACTTAAATGTGTGAATATTTATTAACAAAAGACTTCTCCTTGGATGGTGTCAAGTGAGAGAAGGGAGTTATTCAACAAGGACATTTGCAACTGAAACCCAGTTTGCTTTTTGACAGAACACCTCTCTTTGGTGCTAAGATGAAATGTTTGCTGGACCTGAAAAGATAAGTTTAAACTGGGGTCAAAGTTGTGCTATTTCCTTTAGTCTTAGTTGTATTGAAGACTTGGTAGTTTCGAAACAAGATTGAGGTGTTTAATTTATGTATACTTACTAGATTTGTGGCTTTCTTTTTTCAGTGAGGTAACTGAAGGTGAATGAACTGAAAAGTCAGTAATTAAACTGTAAATATTAAGTAGTATAAACATTCTAAAGTTTAAAGCTTTTTGTTTGTTTGTTTGTTTGTTTGTTTGTTTTGTTCACTGCATATAAAATGGGCATTTTGCCTATAAAGAACTCTTGAATAACTTCAAGGGTCTATTTGTTACGTATGTTATGGTTCCCTTACCCTCAATAGCAACTTTTATTCCAACTGAGAAATGAGGGACTAAATATGAAGTCAGTATTTTTAAGGTAATTTTTATAATGTTCTTAGCTTTACTGTGCCTTAATAGGGAAAGGCCTTTTTTCAAGCTAATGGAAACAAATCCTTGATTTGTATTTTTAATAAGCATGTGCCCTCATTTCTACTGCCAAATTCATAAGCCTGTTGAGCTTTAATTTTTCTTGACATTCTTGTGGAATTTTTAATACTATTTGCAATTACTTTCTTTGAGTACATTCTTGTATTATATGTTCTCTGGGCAGTTTTATTTGTACCTATTATTATCTGATAATGCCCAAATTTCCGTCTTAGAGCTGCAGATGCAATGTTAAGCTTTACAGGGGTCCACAGGCTTCCTGAACTCATAAAAATACTAAGCTTACTACTTGATTCCTTGGAACTTCACCCATTTCCTCAAATTTATGTTGCTTCTCATCCTACATTTCATTATTTAAGTAAGTCATATCCCAACCTTCCTTTCCCTATTATTTAAATCTAACTGGGTTCATGTAGCAAACATCCCCTGATGGCTAAAATGCGTACCATCCTAAGTGCTGTGCTATTGCTTACCTTTGTCCACAATACCTGAAGTGCCTCTTCCCACTCCTGGAAAATGCAACTTGAACCTTTGCCTCTGAAACTCTTCTAAATCCATACTTCCAAGTAAAATAAGCCATTCTTTGGTGACCCAAGCCCAATGCTTGACACTGTTGACATGCACTTGTTTCTTTAGAGATTGATAACAGTTTACTGGTAGACCATACATTCCAAACTGTAAGCTATTCACTTGCACATTTTCCAAAAATTTTGACCAGAGTTTGGAGATGAGATGACAGGTTGCAGAGGCTTGGGTCTAGGTTTTCTCTTACAAGATGAGTAGCGAAATGGGGCCAGCCAATGGGACAGAG